CTCGCAGTCCGTGGACCCCCCGCTCGCCGGGGGGGGTAGCGGGGCGGGCAAGGCGAACGGCCGCGCGCCCCCCTCGCGCATTCAGGAGAAGAGGAGGAGGAGGAGGAGGAGGAGGAGGAGGAGGAACAGGAGTACAGATGAAGAGTGTTGGGAAGGAGTACCGAGGAGGAGGAGGAGGAGGAGGAGGAGGAGGAGGAGGAGGAGGAGGAGGAGGAGGAGGAGGAGGAGGAGGAGAGAGAGAGAGAGAGAGAGAACCACCACTGCGGACAGCTGCCTGGGCCTGCTCGAGACCTGGTGGAGGAGGCCGTAGCCTCTTCAAACCTGCACGTATGGACTACACGCGATCATGCATATGGACAACGAGACAAGACAAACAAATCTGCGACGGAGGAGGGGAGGAGGGAAGTCCTGGATGTGGATGTCGGCGCAGTGTCGTTACGTGGGGTGTGCGTATTGCCGTTCGAGTGTCGACCAGGTGGTGGTGTCTTGGGCCGTGCGAATCCAGGTGAAATTGTTGGGCTGGCCTTTTGTAGTCGGCGTGGGCGTTGGATGCCGGTCGGGGTTGTTTTGTTGGAGGAACCTGACGAAGTCGTCTTCCCAGCGTTTTCGCTGGCCGCCTTGCTGTCGTTGTCCGCGTTGGCGTGGGTTCTCTCCTGGCTGCCAGTGGAGTGCGCGCCACGTCCACCTGGTGGGGTCATGGTTAGCAACCCTCGACGCCATACGCCACGACTTCTGTCCGCGAGCCGTCTCCCAATTTGCGACTTGGTGGTGTTGCATGAGCTGCTCTGCGCGCCGTGTTGCTCGCTGTATATACTCGACCCAGGGCTCTCGCGTGTCCTCGTTGTCGTCGTCATTGTCGTTGCTATCGCTGTGTGGGTCTGCTGCGTCTTGTTGTGCTGCGTGGCTGTCTGCGTCGTCGCTGCTGTCGGTTGCATTGGGGTCGTCGCCAGGTGCTTCGTTGGTCGTGCCGCCGTCCGTGCCGCTGTGGCTATTGCGAGGGATTGTGCTGCGAGTAGTGTGTCGCCGTGTCGTTATGATGATCATGCGGAACGTCGTTGCGTTCGTCGCAGGTGTTGCCGGAGAGGTTCCGTAAGCGTCACGGTCTCTGCTCCGTAAAGCGCCGTCGGTGTTATGTTCTGTTGAAAATCCGAAGCCTGTGCGCTGACGGGTAGCGTTTGCTGGTCAGCTCCTGTTTGTGTGAAGTGAATGATGCCCATGCGGCTCTCGTGCGGTGGTGGATGTCTGTCTCCGTCGAATCGTGGAAGCTGATGAGTTGGCCGAGGTAATTGATACTGCCCTCGTGTGGCAAGATGTCGATGTCCATGCCCTCAACGCGCGCCGTGCGCGAGCTCGCCCTGCCGGTCCGTCTCGTTTGGTTGTTTAGTATATTGGTCTTGGAAGGGTGCAGTTCGAGTCCGTGCGGTTGCGCCGCGCGCACAATGTCTTCGAGCATCGATGTGAGGCGCGGGAGAGTCTGGCTGAGAGCACGTCGTCGGCGAAGCGAAGGTTGGTGAGTGTGGTGGCGGCGGTTCGCCCCAGCTGAACGCCCTTGCCCTTCTTTTGCCATTCGGTGATCAGCGGTTCTAAGGAGGAGGAGGAGGAGGAGGAGGAGGAGGAGGAGGAAGAGGAGGAGGAGGAGGAGGAGGAGGAGGAGGAGGAGGGGGCCCGCGCCCGCGCAGCGTCGGGGTCGCCAAACACGCGAGCAGAGAGCGTGAACAGCGTGGCACGTGGCGCGCGAACCTGACGTGTCTCGCAGGAAGCGTCACAAGCTGCACCGTGCTAGAACTGAGGGGCAATGCCAAGCGCCGGGAAGGGGGCGAGGGAGAGGGGGACAGGGGAGGGGATGGGGCAAGCTAGGTGCGCTCGCGTCATATCTGACGTCCTGCCCCTCGCTCCCGTCCCTTACCATGGCGTAGATATCCTCTCTATGCGCACGATCGGATGTCGTAGCATGGCATAGCCTTACATGACATAGCATGGCGTTGATGCTCAACGCGTAGCCTGACATAGCATGGCGTGGCGACACCCCCAAATGGGGTGCTTCCGCGTCCCACAAAATCAGCGCATCGACACCGAAGGTGTAATTACTTCCGATTGCTATTCGGGGGGCTAGTTTCTAGATTTGGGGGCCGATTTGGAAGGACCGAAAACCATGCCGCGGCATGGCACTAGAAATGGCGACGCCAGCGTTGCAGCAGGAGCACGATTCGGAACGAGCGGAAGCGCGGAAATCAGGCCAGCACTGCAGCGGGAGCACGATTCGGAACGAGCGATAGCCCGAGGGGATGGGGTAAGAGAGGAGGAAGGGGGAGGAGGAAAGAGGAAGAGGATCGGGAGGGAGAGGAGGAAGGAGATGGGGAGGGAGAGGAGGAAGGGGGAGGAGGAAGGGAGACGATGAAGGGGATGGGGAGGGAGAGGAGGAAGGGGGAGGAGAGAGAGGAGGAAGGGAGAGGAAAAAGGGGAAGGGGGGGGAGGGAGAGGAGGAAGGGGGAGAAGGGGGGGCAAGGGGGGCAACCAAGGTCTAGCATCCGCGGGCGGAAGCTAGCCGAAAGGACAGAAAAGAGGCCGTGCCTCACGGGTGCGGGCAGGCCCCACACCCATTCAAAGCGCGCACGGGCGCGCAGAGCCGCGCCCAACGCCTCTTCCTGCGCAGTGCCGACGCCAGGCGACGGCCCTACGCTGGAGCGGGCGGTGGGCGCGGCTCTCGTCCAGCCAACACCTCGCCCCTGAACCAATCCTGGCCCGTGGACGCGGCGCCAGAACACGGGGCGAGGAGCTTCCGCCAGCACGGTGCTTCCACAAGGCAGTGCGCCGCACATCGGCGGCAAATAAGGCAGCGGCCAGACGCCTGCACCACATGACCTGCGTATACGAAGGTGTCAGGGGGCCCCGCTGGGGCCTCGCAGGAGGACTTGAGCCCCGGCGCCCTGAGGGCATCCTGGACGGCGACACATCGCGCCCTGGGCAGGGCGCCTCCGCGCCGCCAGGCACGCACAGCCGAAAGAAAAAGGTGGGGGGGAGACTGGGCACATCTCGCACCAGGCTGCTCGAGCTTTCTTCTGCTCAAAGCCGCCCTCGCCGAGCAGCGGCACCACGTGCACCTCGCCGCCTCAGGGGCCCCCTCCACCAACTCCAAATCGTGAGAGAGAGAAGGGCGAGTCGGGGGATGCCGCCCCCTCTAACCCGCGCAGGCGCAGGCTGGTCTGGGGCCGCCGCAGCGGCGAGCTGCGCCGCCCTCGACAGGAAGTCCCAAGTTTTAAAACCGTCCTTGATTCTTCCCCGCAGCACGGAGGTGACCAGCTCAGGCAGCTGGTGCTCACTCGCCCCCAGTCGCGCGAAGAAGTCGGCCCAGGCGTTTCCCGTGCAATCAACGACACTACGACCGACGACATCCCAGGGAGACGCCTGGCCTTCAAGGATCTTAGAAACATCCTGGTGGGCAGGTGTCCAGCGGAAAGAAGGCCGCTCAGCCCTGCCCTGGTACAATTCAAAAACTCGCCTCCAAACCGAGGCGCGTGCCCCTCTGCCTGCGGCCAAACCAGGGCCCCACGAGTTGCCTTCTTTGACCGCCGACAGGTGATCAGAGACAACCTCGAGGCCCCACGGCCCGACCTTCGCATGGAGGATAGCCTGGCGCTCGGCCCTCGGGACCGTTTGGACAGGCCCCGCGAGGGCCCCAAACGCAGCCTTCACAGGCCATCCCCCAGGAGAGAGAGCCACGACCGACCAGCCACATCGGGTGGCTTCGGGGGTTCCCGACGCCAGGCCACTCCCGTCAGTGTACACACGAAAGCCCCAAGGAGCAGTATCAGCGCCCCACGAGCAGACTTTCGTCTGAGCAGCGACAGCGGGGATCTCAACAGGGAGAGAAGGCAAACCATAAACCAACTCAGGAGTGTTGAAGTCGGGAGGGATCCCATACGCTTGCTCTTTGAGCCAGTTCCTATGCTCTATGCACGAGTCTGGCATTGCAGCACTCGCGTCAGGGTCTACACACATTGCCAAAGTCCTTCACAATCGTAAAACTGGTGGCCAAACGTCCCCTGCGGATGATCGCAGAAGTCGCACTTGCTGCTGGCGGCATATCCACGCTGAAACTTTCGGGCTGGGGGCCACATGGCCCCCGCCCAGAGGGCTCTGAGACAGGCCCTGCAGGTCCCCTGCAGCCTCTGGAACCCCAGCCTAAGAGCCCTGACCCAGACGACCTCGTGCCCCTGGGCCTCGGGGAGACTCGAAACGAGCTGGACCCCCTGGGCTCTGCCAGTTCCTTCCCTCAGCAAATGTCGCACATCCGAGGGAGACGCGCGCTGCGAGGAAAAAACTTCATTCTGGTCCGTCCTAGTGTGGCGCGGCCCAACTAGATCCCATCCGACTCGCTGCAGCGAGCGCATGACAGCTCCCACCGGCCCTCTGACTTTAGACCAATGCGGGGCCGCCAAGAGAGCTCTCGATGCCTGCTCCCACGCACAGCGCATGTCGGAATATTTGGCACGGCCGTCCCATACCCAACAGCAGTAACGATGCACTCGTGGAACGGTGGCGTCAAACACTGGATCGTAACACTTATCCTTGTGCGTACATAAATACGGAGTCACATGACGACGGCTCTTTGCCCCAAGAAGGGAGGCGGCGAGCGAACGAAGCGAGCGAAGTGCGGCATCAGTGACGCCTGACGCCGCAGCGCCATGGCTGCCGCACGGCATCAATCCCGTCCTCCACAAACCCGCCACCCGCTCTCCCCCCGCCGACCTCCTCATAATGACAAGCCTCTGCCTACGCATGTCGAGCTGCCGTCTCCTACGTGCCTCCATCACCCGCAGGACGCGTCGTCCATACAGGTCGTGGCCGAGATTGCGCATGTGCTTTGGCTTCTTGAAACCCAGCGAGCGGCCAGCCGAGGCAATGTTTTTCTCAGCGGCCACGCTCGAGGCAACGAAGCCGGACTTGTCGGGCTGCAGAAGGAGGCCAATCGGCGAGACTTCACGGCACAGTTCACGGGC